CAAAGATTTACATGCCATGTAAATTGCCTGTCCGTGTCGGGCATTTATTTAATTATTTATTTATAATTAAATTGTTTATTTAGCCGCAGATGCGGTCTTTGCCATTTTGGTTGTCCAGGGGGCCAATTAGTTTAGCTTTATTTGGCCTAAACTATTTGACGTTTTCATGTTGGCAGCATCTCTTAAACCGTTTCCCAAATAGCTTGAAGATTTTTTATCGCTTGATCTTCGGCTAGAGTTATAGGAAATATCAAATGTCCACAGTTTAAGTTAATTAAGAGATCACAGAAACTTTAAAATCCAATGAAATAATAAAGATGAACTTGAACTTTATAAAAAAGACAGGAAGGATGTGCTTGGAATGTAGATGATGGCAAACAACTTTCGGTTATATCATATGCATAACCATTGGATTAATCAGTTATAGAAGGCAGAACTTTAGTAGGAAATTGGTAAACAAATCAAATTGCAAATGAAATAAACCAAGTAATCACAATTGATGTAATATAAAATTACGTTAGGGCTTATCTAATTTATCATATTTAAGCATATATCATATTTAAGCAACAACAATACCATAATTAAAATTAGTTTTACCCTTTCCATTCGCCTTTAATTCATATAATCTCAACGCTGGCTCTTTTCAATTTCCAAAGAGTTTTTGTGTCGACTTCTGTCTTGTCAGTCAGCCCAAGACAACGCAATATTTTTTGGCTTGGCTTGGCTGTGGCATTCGCTGGTTTTTTCTGATGTCAGTTCGCTTTTGGGACACCGTTTAATCTTTTGGCTGCAACATGTAATAGCTCTTTAAAAGGTTCAGAGCCCAAGCACACTCTCGACTCTTGAATTGGGTCAGCAAAGTGTTATGTACGCGACTAAGTATTTACTTATAGAGCATGTGAGCTGCAAGAGTCTGGTTTGGTCTAGTCTGGCTAAAGTTGGTTGCCAGCTAACTTGGCTGAAGGCTTTTGGGGCATGCCACACACATCAGGTTCGCAGATGAACAGTGATTAGCCGGGGTCAAAGTTTACGGGGGCTAATCGTGAGCCGAACCAAGGGAACTAACCGAAAGCGAAACTTTTTGGCAAATAGGTTTTGGCAGAAACATCGCACAATATGACTCAATTTGCGGTAGGACCCCAATAGCGTTGCATTCAAAGTGTAATAAATGCTTATGATTTTGTTGATTAGGATCAGATTTAATTTCAAGGCCTTTATAGTAAATATATATTGGAGACATTAAGGCTTTAACACCCCCACTGAAACAATGGTCCTGCATTGTGAGCATAGTCTGAATATTTAAGGTTTTTTAAGCTGCCCACACTCCCAAATCGCGGCCAAGTCTAGCGCGTGGCTAAAGACGATCTCCAATTAAATATTCAAAACATATTCCCACCATAAATGTCTCATAAATACACGATTTTTCCTTTTTTTTATTAGTTTGTTTTTTGACAAAAAGGGCACGTAGCTTGGGCAAATGCAAATTGAGACGTAAATCAAGCATAAATTCGCACCAGACAAGAAACACTTGTGAGACTAAGGTATGCTAAATGTTAAACATGTGTTGTTACTGTTCTGGAAATAACAGATAGGATAGCTTTGTTATCATTTAATTATTATGATTAAATAAACAAAAAATAGCTATGTTAATATTTCCCATTCGTAGAAAAATGTAATAGTGGAGTTACCTCTTTTAGCAAATGTGAAAATTGAAAAAAATAAATGCAATTAATGAATGCCCATGCGCTTCCTTATTTCGATGCTTCAAAATCAGCTGGCTCACTGCTAAAGTGGCGGCACCGGAAGCTGCAGGCAAACGTCCACAGTTGAAGTTGAACCTTTGCCCATTACCAGGGCGTGTCTCCAAACCCAACATAAAAAACCAAATACTCAAGCAAAACCTCTTCTTCATGCTTTGCGGCTAATTAAACATTTTCTGTGTTTTAATACCCTTTTCTGGGGTATTGCGATTTCCCCATACAGACAAAGGAAATCAACTAATAATTGCAATTTCTGTAGAAACAATTTATTATAGTTTTTTCTAAAATTCTATGTTTCTTTTAAAACTAGTATTGTATAAAAGAAATGCTAAGGTTCAAAAATATCTAAGATATGTACATAGTTCTTACGAAATAAATTTAAGTTTCAGTTTTTTAAATTCAAAACCTTTCAATCTCTTATAAATAAATAATGAAGTATCTTTGTCGAACGATGTAATTATCTAATCGACTTTATGACAAACAAAATATAATTGCTCACACTCAAAGTGTATTACAAAACTTAATTCTTCACAGGTTAGCCACTTGTTTTGTTTTTTTTTTGGTTTTGTGTTCAGCAATTAGTCAAGCATGCACCGTCTAGTCGAATTCAGGAAGATTGTCAAAACACGTACAACAAATTGTTTGAGGAAGCACCCAGGTGAACACACAAAAATATTAGCTTACCTTTTTTTGTGTGATTTTTTCTTGTTATTATGAGTATTTCTCATTTTGTATTTAAAATATGTCTGCGTGTGGCACGTGGTGGACTCAATGATGGAGTGATACAAACAGTCACGCCCATTTGTTGCCCATTAGTTGATGCATTAATGTGTGAAGCTTTGACTTTTTTGTCGTTGGCTCTTTGGCAAGTCATTGGCATTTGAACTTAGATTTAAATACTTATATACTTTTATTTTTATGTGCAAAAATTTTATATTGTTTCTTATTTAAGCCTTGCAGAGATTATTTTAATTTTGGTTAGAAGTTTGCAACGCAGTAAATTGGATATTTTTAAAGCTATAAAGTTCATATATTCCTCTTGATATAGCCATGTCCGTATATTTATACATCGTTTGCAAGCTCAGTTTAACGGGTAGAAACTTGCTACTTTCTCAATCGTTTTTTTATATGTGTCCGCCGATCAAGTTTAAAAACGCTTTGCCATAGAAACAATCGAGTCAAATTTTTTTATTTATCCCAGCCGTATGGTGCTATGCAGTTAATTGCAAAGTGGAAAAGCTATTAACATAAAACTTCCCAAGTATTTTTTTTTTATGTGGGTACTAATCATATTTAAAAATCCAATCGGACACTATATCCTATAGCTGTATGCTAAAGCAGCAATCGAAGTTGTTTTTGTTGCCCAATATTATAGTTTATAATTGTATAACGAGGTATCCCACTCCAACATTTGACTATTATTATCCAGGTCTTTGATAAAAAAAACCCTTTGGATTTTCTCTGGATTTGTATGCTTTTGGAGAGGATATTATAATTTTGCTCAAAAGCTTGGCTTCCGTTCTTGCTATGACTTCTTATGAAGGACACATTTACTTGCTAAGTGAAATTCCTCCCTTCTCTCAACAAATACAGCTGAAAATGAAGCTAAAAAAAACTATTAAAATAGGAAACAATCAAAAATGCAATTTGTAGGCCCCTCGACGACAGCCCACGACTCGTGCCATAACTTTCAAATGCGATTTGTTCGAAAATTTGTAGCAGAAAGAGTTCGAGGAAGGGAACGGCGTGACAACAGTTGGCCATGCTACCAGCCAACGAGTGCAGCTAATTCGCGAATCCAAATAAGTCCAAATCCAATTGCAATTGCATTGCGAATGCGGCAGCCAGAGCCACGTTTTTGAACCGCCCGACCCCGAAAGGGTCAAGTGGCGCGTGTAGCGAAAGCCATGGCTAAAACCGCTGCCGGCAGTAGCCAATGCAGCAGCCACAGTAAAAACTATAGCTTTTTTTTATGGCCACCCACTGAAGGGTTTCCGAACTGAGGAGAACCGATCCGCCGGCCGAGCATTCGATCTTCATGCCCCAGTGCGTGGCGAGACCTTACTTGCGTCTGAACTTGACACGCATATGCGAATATATATATATATAGTTTCAGGCCCCCCGATCATCGATCCAGTGCGTGTTGCATGAGTGCTGTAGGTAGGGTAGTAATCAGTCTAGACTGCATTGGGCTCGGCCCACGTTCAGCATTGAGATACGCGCATATCGAAAGTGCACTGCTCTAATTAATGGCTTAATCAACTCCATCAGCGAACACCAATGACACCTTAAGGCTGAAAACAATAAAAGTTTAATTAGCCAGAGCCACAGGAACAGTAAAAATGTTAAAATAAGACCCAAATTCGGTGCAAGACCCATAAAGTCTGGTTCAATGGCATACTGATTACGTTGTTTGGCCTTACGTTACGTTAAAAATGCCGGTTGTATGGCCGACAAAAGCCGGTTAAAAAAGAGAACTGTTAAGAGAGAGTGGAGCAGGCTTGCCAAAGTCTGCAAATGTTTATAGAAACTTTGGCGGTCGATAGGAAAATATTCTTATATATTATATACTTTTTATTTAATAACTAACTTTCAATTACTTGACAGTTTCAGGGTTATCTTTTCATTTGAGAAAATAGGTGCAGTGGAGGATATGACTTCATTTGTTAGCGTTTAACTTACAGATACTGTTCAATTGTTATTTACGTTTATTGTGCAGCTCCTTTTTGAGCAAGACTCGATAAATCAACATTTACAACAATGAGTTAAGCGGAGTGTGTAGGTATGGTTATTGTGAGCCATATTAAAATCACTTATCCCCCTTGCGAAAAAGTGGAACTAAGCCAAAGAGCGACTTCGGCTAGGTTCTCTTCGCATCTCTCTATCTGGTGTCTGGTGTCTGGTATCTGGCGATATCTCTTGCTGGCTAAGAGCCGCTCCCAACGGGGCTGACATCATCGAGAGACCCAGTCTCCGTAGTCCGGACCTGGCCAAGTCGAAAAACTAGAGCCAGGTGTTGGACGGAAGGCTTATTTAATGCGCGGTGCGAGCGCGAAACTCTTTTAGTACAGCGTTGGCGTGCGAGACAGACGGTTCGGTTTCTGGGCAGCAGCAGTCGACTTGAAAACGAGTTCGTTATAATCGCTATTAAGCAAATATTGTGTGTAGCTGTTTGTGGGCACACACACTTTTCGGTGCCGAAATAAAAAGTATACAAATAATCTAGAAACAAAAACACGAGTAAACATTAAACAGTGGTGGCTTGGATGTTGTGACTGCGAGTGAAGCCAAGCGTTGAGTGTGAAATGCAAAACTGGCGAATTCAAGACCCCCCCACTCCAGATAATCTCTGAGTCCGTCTCGAAGACTGAGCAGCCCGAGTCCCGAAAACAATTGCATAGAAAGTGAAAGATCAGAGACAAAAGGAAAAGTCCGAGAAAGGGAAAGGTTGTGGCTTCTCGGGTTTTTCTCTTTTCTTAGATGCTCCGTCAGGTGCAACGCCTAGAAGCCCCTGGCCACCCAATTCCGCCCCCTGAGCCCCAAAAACAGCTGTTACACTCAGACAATCGCCCACTGATCATTGAAACTTTTGCCAAAAACATTTTCAATCATTTTTGTCCAATGCCTAGCTGACTACGCGTTTTTTCGTATTCATCGAGAGCTGACAAAAAATATTGAAAATTAAAGAAAAAAAAAACTCCCCTATACCACGCGTTTTTATTTTTAAGTCGAATTGCCATTGATTCATTGAGCCCCTTGTCTGTGTGACTGTGTCTGTGTGTGTGTGTGCCTGTGCGTACGTGTGTTGGTGAATACAATCAACGGAGCACGGCGAAAAAAGGAAAAAAAGCGGCCAAGCGACATTGATGCCAATCGCCAGTGCATTTGTTGTTGCTGCCTCCGTCCGCTTTTTGCATCGGACCAGAATATAATGAAATAAAGCCAAATAAAATATAAGCTAAAACGCCTTCAGTGGACTTCGGGCTGGAATGAGATATCAGCGCTCTCGAATTGCGCAGACAGGTACGTGCAATTCGTCTCATTTTGATTTATTTCCACTGAACTCTGGCCATAAATTGTCGTGTATATTTTAGCTAGATTTACTAGGCATTGAAACTCGCATGAAATTGTCAGAAACTTGGTGAGTGGAGTTACGACCTAAGACAAATTGCTGCCCAAAATCGAACAACTAATGAGTAAATTATAGTTGATGATGCAATAAGTGAGTTAGGGAACTGTGCAGAATTTAGATATAAAGTATAGACGTGACTTATCAAAAATTCATAATTAATAATTGCTAGAAAGGCAAATGATTAATTTTCATTAATATCATTAAAACATTGAAACATCTGTAGACGATATTACTTGCTAAGAAATGAAAAATTCTTCTTTTAACAAAACTTTCAGGTTGAGGTCATTGACTATATTATATTTCCACTCGCTGGTAATTTATTTTACATTCAAAACCAACTAACATTGCAAATAAAAGAAATACATTCTCTTTTATGCCAAGAAACCATTCCCATAATTATAATTATGATTTCCAAAACCCATTTCACCCCTCCGTTTTAAAGCAGATAACAATAGAAAAGAATATTCCTATGCTTTCCTTTGTCTGATTTATAAAGTTATTTTTCTCAGTTAATTATTTGGTCTGCACATATTTCGTGTGATATGATATTTTGCTGGCCAATTTATCTTATTACCGCCTCCACCCAACTCATCAGGGATCATTAGGGAACCAAATCAACTATGCATATATCATGAATCATTTATATATTTTCGATTCAATTGAGGTTCAATGATTCTAGAGCTGGGCATGAGTTCACAGATTGCCCATTAGTCATCCGTATGTCCAGACTCTGGCACTCACGCCATATGAGAATAGTTGTCTGGTTTTTATTTCTTTGTTTATATTTTACATATTAACTCCGGCCTGAAATCCAACCCTAGCAGATTCTTTTTATGTAGACCGAAACTTAGTTATATTTATGTCTATATCCAGTGATTTCGCGGACGGCAAATGTCGCATTAGGATTTTGTGGCATGCATTAGTGCAAATTACCATTTGGGCTCAAAAGGTGTTGGCCCCAATTGTCACCTCCGAAAGATATTGAAACGGAAAACTGGGTGCGGAACTCAGAGCTTATGGCATATTGCATTACCTCGTCAAAAAGCGCGATAATACTTGATTTCTTTACCTCTACACGGACTTCTATATGTATTTTTATGGGCACGCGCCTTTGGGTCGTTTTATCGGTCGTGCTGAATGTCAGAGTTAGAACTTGAGTTGCTCGTGGTTGACATTAAGACCATTTCAACACCACAGCGAGAGACTTTTTAATTAAGCTTAAATTGCAAATGGGTTATGGTTGAATAAAAAATGGGAAGGAGGTGTGCAAATCCCGTAAATTTCTTATTGAAAGGATTTCAAATTAGTGGAGCCCCTCACGTTTATTGTCTCATTTTGTATGCCGAAATTGCAACTGACACTTTACTTTACACACCCTTTATGACCAGAAAATGTTTAATGGTGGAACTGCCCAAATTTCAATTTTTGAGGAATTTCATTTTGTATTCTCAATAATTATAAATGATATTTCTGACTTTTTTGCGTGCGCATCGAAATTTATTTCTATTGTTATATATTTTTCAAATAAAACACACAAAGTAAAAACAAAGCATTTCAAATTATTAGCTTTGCCTTTTATGGCTGAGGAATAAACAAAATTCTTTATAAATCATTTTCTAGCTTATGTTTCCAATGAACTTTGCCAGGCAGCTTGCAATTTGTTTGTATTTTGCAACCAAAATTTTGTCTTTTGGCAATAATTTTACGTGTATGAACAGGATGTCCAAATGTGATTCATAGAAAAATGGGAATTAAAGCCTGGGTCAAGGTCTTATTCTGGCTGCGATGAGCTCAGAAGGCTTGGCTTTCGGTTTTAAAAATATAGTTTTCCCTATAAGTTTTTTATGTTCTATGACCACCATTTTTTCAGTCCTTTCATTTTTCATCATCGCTCGCCTTAATTAAACCATAAACACCTCAAAACATGCTACCATATTGTACACACCGCAGAACCCCACACAGCTTGGAGGTGACCCACCCATCACAACTGGCAAACGACCCACACGACAACGTTTTCTTGTTTCATTTTTCATTTTTCACTCAAGACAATGCCAAATCATTGAGCAGCCAAAAAACTGCAGCAAACAAACACCTCCGCGAAACAGACAGCGACCACGATCCACTGAACGGTGGAGGCCCAACCTATAGACATGTTTAATCAATTTAAATTACCTTCAATTAGGCTCTTTGTTCGCGGTCCCGCGGACATTGCAAAAGTCTTCGGCTCGGCATCTGCATAAATGAAATGCAAATAAGGAAAATGCCACTAATTTGTTTAGATTCCCCGACTCTGAAATGGATGCATGCATATCTGACTTCGGAGTTGGCCAATGCTGGCAATTAAACATTTAATAGCTTCATTCGATATGCATAATGGACAGAGTTTGCAGGGGGGAACTGTTGTGGGTGTTGGCTCTGTTTTGGTTTTATAAAAATGCAAATGTTCCCTTGAGTCATAAAGTAATTTGTTGGTGAATCGAGTGTGGACAGATTGGGAAGGGGCAGGGAAAATTTGGTTTAGAATTCATGGTGGGGCTGAATGAGATTTTGATGTCTTTTTAAGCTGACCATAAACTAATACAATGCAGTTAATAATTTTTCCGACTCTATTTCTTTTAATTATGGCCAATAAAAATGTAATAAAGTGTATTTATATCTCTATGCAAATCTTTTTCAGATACTGTTATTAATGGAATACATTTGAATAGACTCTTTAAATTATGGGTTTCGCTTTTAAATCTGAAAAATGAAAAAAACAATTTTTGATAATATTTTTTAACACGATTATGCATGTTCTTTTTTTATTCGCTTGCATATAATTTTCATTTCATTAAGCTTTGCTAATCTTAAGTGGATTTTTAGATGCCAATAACCTAAAAGCTGAAAATCCTCTCAAAATTTCTTGGTTTGGACGGGCCATTAACAAACAGCTTTTTGCCAGGCAGTAAAATACGAAAGACTTAGGACACAAACTTGGACAAAATTGGCTTGCCGCGAATGCATATAATTAATCTCTTTATCCAAACTCAGCGACTGCGCTCTAAGTGAAAGTTTGCCATGGCCAATCGTCTAAATATCAAAGTGTCTGCGCTCGTCAACTGTCGCTTCAATTCAACTCCCATCCTGCTGGTACCATTTAAATGAGCCATCAAATCGGCACCCCAACCGAGACGCGTCTCCCGACTTGTGTCATTGAACCAACAAATCAAAGCCGCTTACCAAAAGTCGCACAAAAACTCTTAGTTTGCAGTCGTCAACGCTCAGGATTGATGACAAGCCAAGCAATGCCAAATGACAATTATTTACGCGGCAAGTGTCATAAAATAGAGGAATGAAAAAGGCTAAAAAAGCTACTACTAAAACCAGAAACCACAGCCAAATGACAGCGAACAAAAAGCCGAAATGTGTTTATTGACGTCATTCCATGGAACCAACAAGCCGACAGGCAAAAAACTTTTAATGTGGAGAAAATCCAGGCTCCGTCCGCGTTTTTGCGGGAGGACCCAAGGGAGTGGACAAGCCAGCCAGCACCACCCGCTGAGTCGTAGCCAAAGCCAAAGCCAAAAACTGCTTGCGAATTGTAATAATTGCAAACAATTACAGAGACACTAAAGCGAGGTGGAAAAATGAGAGCCATAGAAAAGTGGTAGCTTTTATAGCGAAGACTATTTGATACCCCACAAATATGTCGACTTAAAATAGAAAATTATACTTAAAACTTAAACAAATACAATAATATACTTTTTACGATAAAATAGCATTTAATAAAATATGTAAGAGTTTTATAGGTATTATAAAATCTTAAGATTTGGCTACTATGGAAATCCCTTGTCTTTTCAAAGGATCCTGCCATACAAATCAAAAAAAGTAGCTTAAAGAAAATTGTTTTTCAACTACGATATAACTAACTCTCAAAAACTATTAACTTGAAAATGTATCGCTTTTGTTTTTAATTTTACGAATGACATATTCTTTTAACATTTTCACTATACGCAATCACATTTAAACTCATTCAGCTGAAACTGCCTAATAAAACCAAAAACCCCTAGCTAAAAATCCCTCATTGGACACCATTTCGGGGACATCAAACTGTGGCCATTGTCTTGTCTGAGATTTTGCCAGAGTTTGCGGAGCATATTTGCTCTGATCAGGGGTTAACTTCTTGTGGCTATCATATGGGTGCAGAGGGGCCACATTAAATCCCATTAGTTGGGGGTTCAGTTCGGTTCACTCCTGACTTGGCTCCTGTCTCATGCCTTTTTTTTGTTTATCTGTTTTTACTTGCCTGCATAAATTATGTTCACGATATTCTCTTGTTCAGAGGGACGTCACCTTTGGGCTCTCGTCTTTCGTTTTTTTTTTCTTCAGTTTGGGGGATTTTTGGGTATGGGCTTAATGTGGGGCTGCCAATTACGAGCATGAAGGTCTTTGACTGCGCAATCTTAGCAGCACCAACAACTACATAAACAGCTAGAAAATTTGTAACATTTTTTGTTGTCTTAGTTTATGTTGGTGTTGTTATTTCTTTTCGGGTTTGTTATTTCTGCTTATGACTTGTTTTTCATGGTTTTAATTTGTTCGTCGTTGCTTATCCCATGAAGTCAAGCAATTATATTACTTATTATTGCTTATTTTTTCCTCTCAAGCGTTTTTTCCTAATATTTTTTGAATGTTTTTCACGCTCTTGAGTTGATTGGCTTGCAAAACGCTTAAGATATGGCAATGAAAATGGTTGTACAATGTGTACGAGATAACCGAGATTTCTCAAGCTGGTGTAATGCAAATGCTGTCCATGGCATGCAGATATATTTGTTTTCCAACAATTTCCATTCCTTTTTTCACTCATTTCCCACTTGCACTTTCTGTCGTCGATGCAAGAAAACTGACGGCC